CTCGGTACAAGGCCTCATTGCTTCATCACACGGCATAGAATCTACAGTAGTTCCCAGGAGATTTCAACCAGGTCCACAGCAGCATCTGGCGCACCAAGGGTCAGAAACAGAACGTGAATCTCGTCCCCAGATGTCAAGGTCCTGTAACTGTCCAGTGACACCTTCAGCCCCTGAGTTTAACAGAGACTGCCAACACACACAAATGGGTATCTCGACAACTCAATCCTTCCCGCACCTTGAAATCGCGTCACCTGCTATCAGCAACCGTGTCCAGCAACCTGCATCAGGCAAGGTCTTCGCCAGTAACACACTCCAATATGCCAAGACAGCATTACAGCACAACTGATTCAGGACACATCAAGTCAAGACACTAGATCCATCGTCTTTCATCAACCAAAGAGCCCCCTACACCCAAGGTCGAACCCACCAGGCTTACCTCACCCACTACACACCCCAACACAGGGTAGCTCTCATCATTCCCAGCACATCCTGGATGACAGTGGCCCACATCAACAGATCTGTAACAGCCTAGGGCAATTCAGACCCCAAAACCTAGCCCAGCAGACCTCCTATAAATGTGACATGACCTACACAAAGGAGACCGACAGAAACGTCAACATCAGACAAACAAACACAGAGTCCATGGCAGATTGAATGGGCTACCTAATATAAACAAGCATCAAATATTACCCCCGTCCCTCCCTCCTTCTACCAAGAACCGGGTAGGCCTGTCATACCTTGACGTTAGTTCCCATCAATTTGCCTGTGCATGCCATTTTTACGTCAGGCCTCCGCCCAAAGCCTGGCCAAACCTGTCCATACCTTCATTGACACTCACTCGGCCCTGTTAGCGCAGCTTCGTCCACGTTTCTCGACGTTAACAACATAGAAAGTCGGTATTAAGAATACAATGTAAATAAAAAAATCGATAAAAATGATAAAAACCATAAAAACTAATAGCGCACCGCACCGGTGCGGCCTACAGTTAAAATGCGAACACTAACAACATGCATGACTGATTAATTCAGAAATCCGCAGTCACATGATTCACGCTGGCGCTTAAAATTCGCTCGTCCCCACTACTTATGGCAAAAGTTGCTACTTCCCCTCCCGCCCACGCCACGTCAGCATGGCTCATTGCCCTGCACTTGTCCCCAGGACTTCGATGTCTATCGCATGTTGCTCAAATTGTTTTGTCCTACCCGCCGTATTGTCTAGAAATGGGTACGATGGCAGGGTCGCTTTTTCGCTCGTCGCCTGCGAACTGGGCCGGGGGCCGGGGAAGGGCTGATGGCCTGCACAGATTTTAGTGGAGGTTATAATATACATGTACGTCACACGCGGTCACCAAACGACGCGCAGAACATTTGCGGATAAATCTTATCCTGGCCGCGAGCGAGCGAGCGAGCTCAATGTGGCGTTATAAAGTCAAAATTTTGTCGTTTTCTTTCTCATTGCTGAAAATATTCTCACTACATTTTATTAGTTCATCCAATTTGATCAGGATAACCAATGAAATGTATCGCCAAAAGACTCGTAATCAATGATAATTTTTGATCAATGATAGAAGATAAATTACCGTGATTGTACCAAGGACATGTGTTTCTCAAATAAGCCGACACTTCAGCCTAATTTATAGACGATCTTTAAATATCCCAAACTCGCTTCTGGAGGTCGTGTTCGAAGTAGCCATTACACGGTGCAAAGCCATCAGCTTCCCACCGACCTTTTCGGGTGATTTTTTCGTCGCCTGGACCCCAGGCCTAACCACGTGGCATGGGAAGGATAGATCCACTGTCTGCGGAAGGGGGGGGGGTAGGCCCCCTAACACTCCTTCGGCTGGGGATTCGATCCCCCCCCCCCCGCCCAAGCTTTTGAGCAGGGCCTATAATGGGATCATGGGGCTACGGATATATCAGCTTACAGAGATCATTGAATCCACTCAACGGCCATTTTACCGAGCCGAATACAAAGCTTGCCCGGCAATGCTCGCCTTTGTCCCCCCCTGGCGTCAACAGAAGCGAGCCAACCCCGCCTATGTTTTCGGCTCAGTAAAATGGCCGCTGGATGGCTCCAATTTCACACAAAGTCGTTGCAAGTCCATTTTTTTGTATCTTCGTCCGTGGGTGGGGCTTCATAGAACCGCCTATTGATGGCTGATGCCTGAGGGTCTAACAACTCCCCCACCCCGTACTTTGAAACATGCCCAAAATTACGAAGCTACATACAGGGGGATCATTGTGTAAAGCTGCCAGATTGAGGCTCTGCATGCCTATGACGGCAGCTTGCAAAAGAGCGCATGTCGCGGATAGGTAGCAGGTCTTGTTTCTGTTGTTCTTTTTCGTGCATTCTTTCTAACTTTCTGTTTTCATTAAGAGTGAGTTGTTGAAGAAAAGATTTTTTATCAAATACAGCAAGAGGATATCAAGTCCAACTATCAGCATTGTCTTTAGGAAGTGAATAACATTACGTCGGCCACAACAATGTTTTAGCTTATCCTGCTCTTTTTCTGATCTAATTCTTCTAATGCCCTGATCTTCTGCATGTATTTTGCAAGCGCAGGGGACGGAAATCAAAGAAAACAGCCTGCGGTACCCTCGGGCTATGGATGGAAGGAGCAACGTTTAGACAAAAAAATGCAACAAGGAAAGGATTAAGACAGAAGGATGGGCATGCGACGGGCAACGACCAACGCAGCGGAACGGTTTAAAGTACGGGCTAGCCCCGGCCATTAGACTGAAAAAATACAATTATGAAGTTGCAATGTACTTCCAATGGCTGGTAGGCCTATAAAGGGGGGGGGGGGAAATAACGAACTTTCAAAAGTGGGGGCCATCGCCCCCCCCCCCCCGACCTGCGGTTCTGCCACCGGTGACAACGGCACAACGCGACGCGCACGACGCGATGCGTCGTGTGTGTACCGTACGTATGTACATGTACATGTATGTGTGTCGTAAATAGTACACCACAATTCACAATAATAAGACCTGTAGGCTTCCTCTTGGGGAGAGATATACCATGGATATACAGCGTACAATGTATTTCAATAAACACGTAATGCCTAGTATGACGTCACTTCAGTTTAAACCACGCCTACTACACATGTACTGCAGTGCACATGCATGATCGCCGTTTGTTTAGCCGGTACATACATATGGACACTATCTGGGTGCATGTGTAGCCACGGGGGGCCGTACCCCCCCCCCTTCCCGGTGCACCCTGCCCACCCCCCCCCAAAAAAAAGACGGATGAATTAATATTGATAGAACAAGGGTAACAAAAAATTGCCCTGAAAACCACACCACTGAAATTGGTGCCCCCCATAACATGCTGGTGCCCCCAAGATGCTGGTGCTCCCTTCGTGCCCCCGCTCCCCAGTAAAATCTTAGCTACGTCAATGTACAGAAGCCTACATGTACACGTGCAGTAAATGTGTGCATGTACATGTACATGTACAGTACATGTACTTACGTACTGTACATGAATATTACATAAAACGCCTACACCACAACTTCCAATAATCCTGTCTCTTCCTTGCCGATGAGGGAGCACTTCAACTCGTGGCTGGTTAATGCGTACGTACGTGTAGGCGCGGCCCAATCTACCGCTCGTACGTCCTGGAACCTGTGGAAGTCCTAGGTACTACTACTAGTAACAGTTTTGGTCTTTTTCTCTGCGTTTGTTCCATCTGCATCACAGCAAGCCATAATTCCTCGATGAAGGTGCTTAGCACCTTCGCTCCGAAACTTTAGCTAGGAACAATTCGTCCGGTGAGCACGTCTTCCATATGCATTTTGGAAAGAGTAGGCCTAGGGCCCGGCGACATGTGTTGAAGGACGTGGGCCGGGCCTACGCCACAGCATGGGAAACCATGTTTCTTTCTCTCCACAATTGAACTTTTCTGAACATGTTTTGTTTTCTGATGATTATTAAGTCACTTTAGGGAAGAATTACTGGCGTCTGTACTATGGATAGTATGGTATATAAAACTCTTCCCTAAACTGCTCAATGTTTTCACTTCCTTGATGCTCTAAATAACACAGTGCTACACAAACATGATTGATATACACATGTAATAAACCAGACAGACAGCTCCTATTCAAAACAATGGTAGGATACTGTAGCCGAGACTGTCACAGCACCCGACTAAATCCAAAAGCATGGGCAGGTGGCCTGAGGTGTTTTTCAATGCATTGTCCTCCTGTTTCCATACAAATGGTGCTCTGGAAGTGCCATCCATCTTGTCGACATCCTGAAATGTTTTTCTTGGGATGACGACGTAATAAAGGCAAGATGTTGATATCTTCGGATTATTTATCATAGGTTAACAATATCATAAAAGTTGGATGGTGCCATCCTCGGATAATTTATCATAGGATGAAGACATCCTGAAAGTTGAATAACGACGTCCTTAGACTTATCATGGGAATGATGACATCGTAAAAGTTGGATGATGACATCCTCAGATAATGACGATTTTTATTATCTCAGGATGTCGTCATCCAGAGACATCCAGCAAGTGTGATGTCTACCCTTTTACAATGCCGTCATCCCATGCTAAACTATATCGGCATGTTGTCATCCAGTTGTTATGATGTCGTCTTCCCATGATAAATTATCGCAGGATGTTGCCATCCAACTTTTACAATGTCGTCATCTTGAGATAAATTAGCTGCAGGTTGTGAGCATCTTGCCTGTATCATGTCGTTATCTCTTGAAACAATATGTCAGGATATCTATATGTCAGATGGCACTTCCAGAGCTACAGAGCTCTAGAAGTGCCATCCGACTTGTTGAGAGATGTTGACATATTTTTTCTCGAAATGAGGACATCATAAAGGCAAGATGTCGACATCCTGAGATAATTTATCGTGGGATGATGGCATCCTGTGTTAATTTATCATGGGATCATAAAAGTTGGATGACGACGTCCTGAGATACTTTATCACAGGATGACATCGTAAAAGTGAAATATTGACATTATTTGTCAACAGGTGCATTGACAAACCATATTGAAATCGTACAGCACAGGTAGCCTTATGTTTCTCAAAACGTTGTCCTATTGCCATACATGATATTAATTAGATTGATAAACGTCACGATGTCTCGCCACCTGTTATGTCATCATGTCATTATCCAACTTTCAGGATATCATTATCCTAAATTATCTCGGGATGTCGTTATACAACTTTTAGGATATCATCCTCCTGTGATAAATTATCTCAGGCCTTTGATATCTTGACTTTGTCATCCCAAGAAAAACATATGTCATATCTCAACAAGTCGGATGGCACTTCCAGAGCTCAGTTATCAAACTTTAATG